TACATTTTTTTTTAAATTGCAGAAGCTTCCCCGTCATGGATGTGGTGGTTCTTTGGGAAAAGGATGGATCAAAAAATGTGGTATCCACTGCAGATTTGAAGTTTGATGGTGTCCTGCGGAGATGGTCATCAGTTACAATGCTGTGGAATGATGGCGAGTGGAAGGGTACCATCATCGATATGGAGGAATCACCTCCCAACTCTGACACTGAGAATGACGATGATGATGAAATTCCCCTATCGCAGTATCTGTCGTCCAAACTCAATGGGGAGCTTATTCAGAGTTAAATTTAAAACTGAGACTCCAAAAACTCTTGTTAAATGAGAGTAATTATTGTCACGCGCACTGGTGTTGGAATGGACAAATCATGAAAAAACATTCAGCTTACATTAAAAACAACCACATGTATCAGGGTGTAACAACTACACTCATTTTATTGAAGATTGCTCTGAATTTTGACACCTTTACTCTGAACCTTATGTTCTGATTGTTTCTCAATGTTCCGACTAATTGTTTAATTCTGCTATGTTCCATTACTCCATCGTTGGCATTGTTGTATTTTTAAATTTTTCAGGCAGCAATTCCAGAAATTCTTTTCTTCTGATAATTTCCATATGCAAGTGCATATACAATGTATCCTGGTTACAATAACGCACACATCAAAAATCCCTCCTTTTTTAAATGGCAGCCATGCCAATAGACATAAAAAGCATTGTTATATAATCTGCATTATTGTCTTTGCTTTTGTTTTGCTTTCTTGTTTCTCAAAGTTTAATATCTCAAAGTTTGTTGCTTTTATGCCAGAATATTTGTGTTCATATTTTGCAGGTGGACCAAGACCCTTGGACAAGATGTCTGGAAATGACGTTCTTGAAGGGCCAGCAGTTTGTGGGGAATTCAAGTGCAAAGATGAAGTGTGGGCTGCCTGCCACCGCTGCCTTGAATATCTTTTAATCATTTTAATACAAACAAAACATGTACTTCGCATAATGCACATGGTGAATTATATATGATTGATGCAAAGAGCTGTTCAGCCCCTTTGGCAGTTTTAGACCCAAAGGATGTTGAAATTATATCCAGTTCACCTCTTTGTGCTTCAACCCAGGTCATTGATGTTCACTCCAGATGCGTTAATATTCCATCTAACTCTCCTGCTGCTGCTTCACTGCAGATCGATGATATTCACCCTGAGAGTGATATTCCATCTTCTTCTGCTCGTTCTGGGCAGTAGCCACCACTTTCCTCTCCTAATGTTGCATCAGTGCCATGTGATGGTGCTAGCTGTGACAGTAATTTTACATCTGCTCGTTCTGGGCAGTATCCACCACTTTCCTCTCCTGCTGTTGCATCAGTGCCAGGTGATGGTGCTGGCCATGACAGTGATTTTCCATCTTCTGCTCGTTCTGGTCGTTATCCATCACTTTCTTCTCCTGGAGCTGTTTCAATGCAGGTTGATGGTGCTGGCCCCGAGAGTGATACTCCGTTGTCTTTAGCTCGTTCTGGGCAGTATCCACCACTTTCTTCTGCTGCTACTGCATCAGTGCCAAGTGATGGTTCTGGCCATTTATATTCTGCTCGAACTGGTCGTTATCCACCAGTTTCTTTTCCTGCAGCCGTTTCATTGCATGTTAATGGTGCTAACCATGGGATTGATTTTCCTTCCTCTTCTTCTCTTTCTCAGGAGTATCCACCAGTTTCCTCTCTTTCCGCTGCTTCATTACAATTGACAGTTCTGGCCCTGGAAGTTTTCTATCTTCCTTTACTGCTCGGTCTGGGCGGTAACGTCCAGTTTCATCTTCTCCACTTGTCTCAATGCCAGTTGATGATAGTGTGTGTCTTTCCTCGGGGCAAGGTGATGATTCCATCTCATTTCCTGACCCTGGTGACTTTCATGTTGATGGTGTTGGAAGGGCTCTTTCCCCCAAACGAAAGAAGATCAAAAGGTCCAGAAATTGTCTTGTTAAAGAAAAAAGAAATAGTGGCGTGGCCTATTTTACAGAAAAGTCAAACATACAGATTCCTCCGAGGCAAGGTGTTTTGGGTGTCAGCAAATGTACTGCTAGATGCAGTAATCTGGATTGCTCTGTAGTGATGGAGGCAGATAGAATATCCTTGAATATTGCCTATTGCAACATGGCTTGCTTGGACAAGCAACGTGAATGGATTTTGAGATATGTTTCTGTGGGAACAACAGCATCAAAGCGTTACAGAAACTTTCATTATACATTGCCCAAGCCCACCTGCATTTCTGAGACCTGGAAAGTTTGTCGTAGCATGTTCATGTCCACGATCAATGTGACAAAGAAGCAAATCAGAACAGTTTTCTCAAAACTTGACACATGTGGCATTCTTCAAGGGGAAAAACGTGGGGGGAGACAGCGATCTGATCTCGACACTCTTCTGAGAAATGAGGTTCAAGAACACATCGAGAAATTTCCAAGGATGGAGTCACATTACTGTCGTGCATCA